ACAGCTCCAAAAGGAGCTGCGCCCAGTAGGGCTCGTTGGATTCGATCCCGGTCTCAGTCAGGGGATAGTCTGATAACAATACCTACTGGGCTAGCTCCTTTTCACATACAGAAAGGAGCAGCCCTTCTATATGAAGGGCTCCTACCGCCCAGCAGGTCCCCATATGGCACTTAGCAGGATTCGTTTGCCTGCGGCCTTACAGACACTCATTGCCTGTGGCCGCGCAGACCCCGCTTGCGGTCCTGCGGCCTTGCTTGCGGCCGTGCAGCCCCACGCGCAGCCCTACGGCCTTGCTTGCGGCGGTGCTGGTAGTGAGCCAATCTGACGGCACGGCGCACATGTCACAACCGCACACACGACACAACCACCTATTAGACCCACTAAAACCCTGAATCGCGCGGCTTAGCAGCCGCGCGACATTACTTTAGGTAGACTAGGTGTAACTCCAGTTTTTTTTCATGACTGCACACTACCGCGGCCTCGTCGAAAAACCCGCGGATGACAGTGTTGACTCACGCTATCCCGCGCGGACGTCGATGTCGTCTTGCGTTGACGATGTCAGGTTCTAAAAAGGTTTAGGTCTCTCAGTCATAGCGCTGGTCTGAATAAACGTTTGGCAAACGTCAGTCTCATCAAGTTTTAAAAGCTAAGCCTACAACTACTGCAATGAAAGCAACCAGACAACTTGACTACCAGCGAGTGATGATGTCAACACCAATGCCAACCTCCGCCTCCACCAGGTACATGTCCTCTTCACCCACACTCTCTCTTGTACACACACAGCGCCCTTCACCTCCGAAGAACCACCTTCGCCCTTCACCCCTCTACGCACACAGGCAGCCCGGCTATGGCCGCTAGCGCCCTGCGCCCACAGGCAGCGCCCTACCGCCTAGCGCTGCCCTGCTTCTCTCAGCCCTTAGCGCAGCGCAACATGCATGCAACGCAGCAGCGTGCCGGCCTTGCTCGCAATGGCCAAGATCCCTGCCCACTCGCCCTACTTGCCTATATGCCAGTGTTGCGTGTGGGCGGCCTCCCTTCAGCCTGCGATTGGGCCCCAGTCGCTGAACCCAGGCCCATATTGTTGAGGCCCGGGGGATGCAGTTGCATCTCTTTCGTCAAGGCCTGCGGCCAGATTCAGATAGTGGGCCGATTTCCCTTTGGCATTTTCGGCCTCTATACCCAACATGCATTGTCGGCCTCACGTTCAAGTGCCCAGGGCCTAACTAACTCAGAGGCCCTGGGCTTTTAGCATTTGCTGAAATCCGAGACTCGGTGCACTCCAACCAACTAGCGTGCTGCAACTGTATGGACCCCACTTCGGGAAATGTTGGCACAGAGGGTTTTTGTTGATTTGCTGGCCCGCCTTCACTTAGGGCGGGCACGAGGCTTGCTGGGGCCTTAGCAGAACATGTACATCATGGCAAGGCCCCCACTTGAGGGCTCAATCCTCATACTTCTTGCCCATGCCAAACAATCAGCTATAATGTTCAAAATTGTTTTTCGACGCATCTCATTGGACGGGAGGTGGGCATCTTTACAGTCCCCGCTCAGAAACTACCAGGCCATCGAGATCCGATGTAGTCGACTGCCGTACTGTGTGACTCGAGGCCACACGTGATCGAAATCCTTACGGAGTCGTGGTATTACTTCGCTAGTGGGTCCTAGCCCCAAAAACACTTGTTCAAAAAGAAAAGAAATACCACCCAATGGGAGGCCCCCAAAACACACATATGTCCCCGCACCTAAATACAAATAAAAACACACCGCAGATATCCAGTCCAATCCACGGTGCTTCGGGGTCACACAACCTCTCCACTACTCCACATACATCGGTAGTGGCATCTCCGTCCTGGTCGCTCCAAACTTTAGAGAAAAAAAGAAAAAGGAGAAAAAAACAAAAGTTCAGAAAAAGTCCTAGTGTCAGTATGCCCTCAATGAAAGCCACATCTGTCCACTCTCTTTTTTTTTCTTATTATTATCATTATCTTTTTCTTGCACATATAAACTCCGATGAAACAGTTTGTCACAGCCCCTCGTTTGTTGTCCTCTTCTCCCTCTCTGCCTACGGGTTACCGGGCAGCTCTGTTTGACTACCATGTTGTGCCTCTAGTGCCAGCGGCGTGTCTGAAGTGTATTTTTTGGCTGTGACAGACCTTTCTTTGTTTCATGGATATTTTGTTGGCTTGTGATGGGGTGTGAACCGACAGTCTGTAGAGTTTTCCATTTGGTGTGGGTGAGTGATAGTCTGCTTTGATTTTGGTTAAGGTAGATTATCATTTACAGTGTAATCAGTGAGGGGATTTTGCAGATTGTTGAGGGTTCAGCCTCCTGATGAGTCGGTGAAACTCCGACGAAACACTTTGTTACAGCCCCTCGTTTGTTGTCCTCTTCTCTCTCTCTGCCTACGGTTTACCGGGCAGTTCTGTTTGTGACGATATATATATATAGTCAAACAGAGTTGCTCGGTAAACCGTAGGCAGAGAGGGAGCAAAGGATATATTGTCAAACAGAGCTGCCCAGTAAACGGTAGGCAGAGAGGGAGACGAGGATAACAAACGAAGGGCTATGACAAACTATTTCGTTGGAGTATATACATGTTATGACCCGGACCAATTGCGAAGTACAAATTCACCAATCAGCACAATGTTCACCAACTGCAAAAGGAAATGAATGAACTTGGGAGGATGGAGAGGATAAGAAGAAGAAGAAGAAGTAGAAAAGTTTGGAAAAGACAATGCACACCAGCAAGAACCAATGYCAAAGCTCTTCTTCTTCGCTCAACTCCCTTGCATCTTATCTCCCCCTCCTCTTTATAAATTCAAACAATAAATAATACAACAATGTTGGAATGAAGGTCCAGTATCACTGCCCAAGTCTCTCTTCTACAGCTGGACAACTATGAGGTCCACCATAGCCATAGCCGCCTCTCCTTCCTAGGCCGAGGCTATGGCGGACTGCAGAGTACAACCACGATGCCCAAAGGACTTCCCAAATGAGTTATGGCTGTCCCCCTAAGTGCCGACATGCCCCAAGATGCTTCGGAGATGC